GCTTTAAAGGGAGCAATGGGACATTTGTGCCCATAAATGAATTTAGTTGATGACAGCGAACTGTAGCCATCGGAGTCTTATGATGTGGCCGAGGTTTAGGGGATAGGGAATTTACGTAAGACTTGCTGAAATAATTGCACCTTCACTGTGTTTACCGGAGCACTTTTACTCTGGTTGGTCAACGGACTGATTTATTCGGTGAATTTCTTATTTGGAAGTACGGCTGAGCTCTTCATGGATGATGGAATGGAATCCAATCCTCTCTTGTACAGTAGTGTGATCGAGGTGAGGACGTGATCGCACCTTTCTTGCACTAAGGGGTCCGCTACGTCTTCGCTTGCACCTAGGAATGTGTTCACACTTTCACATTTACCGTAATTCACCGTGGCTGGATGGGACGGACGGAGGAGATAACTACTGGGTCATTGGAGCAATTGTATGCTACTTTGGCAGAGGGTTGTGTCACTATTTGAGCGAAGCAGAGGCCTAGCAGGGTTTGGCAAGAATCCTATTTGTATTTAGGGATAGGGTGAAGGTTCCCCTCATTAGGAAGGGTGGATTTCATCCCCTGATGTCTCGTGATGATGATAGGGGCAGTTGGTAAATGTGTCCCTTAGCTCCTCAACTTCAGTGAGTAGATTCTACCACTTTACTTCTTGGTGTGTATTCAAGGTTTAACTGTTGGTGGCGGTTAGTTCTTGCACTCCCACGACCATGCTTTGGACACGTGGCGGGTTCAGCGTAAGAATCATGCATCGAAAGAAGAGAGGCGTCTGTATCTGCCAATACGTGTAATCCCCTCTTCCCTCCTTTTCCCCTTGCATTTGACGACGTAGAATTCCTTCCGCCATGGGGAGTAAAGGATTGTTTAGACAAATCCACTTCTGCTGCATGGTGGAGGCGTAGTTGTGCTTCAGTGGAGGTAAGGGAGCATTTGCATGGGGCAATGCATTTAGCTTCTATCCGCTTAGTAACGCGTTGGGACTTAATGATGTGACCAGGAGAAGAGAGAATGAACAAATACCCTTCTTCTGCATCGAAATAATTGTTTCAACTTCAACAGAGGTGGTGTGGTAATTCCATGGAGGATTCACTCAAATTTCATCCCTATTCTAACACCAGATCTTACGCTCTTCGCCCTGATGATGTGGTTGGGTTGGAAAGGATGCAGCATCAATTTGCATGGATGGACGTGCGGTCCTACCGTGAGCATAGACGCAGCACGATGGGCATGCGCGTCTCCTGTGCCCACGCAGGACAGCCAATTGAGAGGCTCGAAACGAGCGAACGGCTACATGCAGCCGATCCATCAAGAATTGCCGTACACATGAGTGAGCAGGCAGAAGCTGGTTGATTGCCGACCAACGGCCGACCATATGTGGCATTGCCCTGTGGAGTAGATGTGGCTCAGGCACATAACTGGCCGTAAATAGCCATGCGCTTTTTCCTCTGGACAGCCAGTGACCTCCCAACCGTTTCCTGTCGGGTAGTGGAGCAACGTTTCCGTTGGGAGCTCCGCCTTCTCCATCATGGTTGGGCTTCACGAGGATGTCAAACTAAACTACCAATACACTTTGTGAGGTCAATCGTATGTGAAGATACGTTCCCGATTGGTCGGGTGATAATAACTACATGGTCTAATGATGTGGTGGGTGGGCTTTGCCACTAAATTGTTTGAGTGGTCGCGAATTCTTTCTATTTGTTGGACCAGCGGCCTCAAAGCACCCGAAATGATACTTACGTCTAGAAATGAGCTCAAATCAGTTCCCCAAGAGATAAGTGTATTTGTCTCGATCTGGATGCAGTTTTCTGCAGCACTTCGTCAAGCTTCCAGTTTTGTGAGTGAAATCAAATTTGTATTGGCGATTCCCTCTGGCCTGCGTCATGGAATTCCATTTCGCAAGTTTCGCCGATGCGAAGGAGGGACGAATCGTCGATAAATATACGTTTTTGAAGTGGAAGGCTACTCCACCCTGAAGACAGTGAATTCTACCTTTTTTAAATAACCGACATCGGACTCACTTAACGGTTTATCGCAGACTGGCTGTTATCGCTGAGACTGCTGGAAGTTTTTCGCTTCTGAAATTGGTTCATTATAAAAAAAAACAAAGAAGGGTTTGAGGACTAGGAGCATAATTGACGCGGGTGGAGCCACAGCACAAAGCGGTCGAGATTGAAAAACGAGATCGGTAGCACCTTGCTGCAATGAAGTTGCCTTCACTACCAGCATCGCATTTATGAGAACCCCTCGAACTCCTCCCTTGAGGCTGGAATATCTTCTTGCTCAATGCAAATTAACCGTAGTCGCACCGAATCCTTTGTCCCAAGCAGATTGGTTTAGATCGCCACCATAACGCGGACTTAGAGTGGTGTTTTTCAGTCTGAGGAGGACAACTGCATCAATAAATAGTGACAACTGATGTCATGGTGATCGGTCTTTCTCTGAGACTCCGCCACCGAATCACACGCAACCCGATTTCTCGCAATGATCATTTGCCCACTTGAGGATGACCAATTTAATACCATCTACATTCACCAAATATAAAAGTTATAGCTGAGAAGCAAATTTTTATGTGGCCGGGACGTTCTTGCCCTTGGAGGCCAAGTGAGCGGAGGTATGGGTGCGGTTTATGAAGCAGTAGACGAATAATTTTGTTTATCCACAGCAATGCACAGGAAAACTACAGCCCACTCGCTACTAGCGCCACCACATGTGACATGCTCATGACAAATGACACCGCCAAATCGTGTGTAGCAGAGTGGTTGAGTTGATGAGGGTAATAAACCGAGAGTGTGCGTGGTGCTCTTAGTCCGAGGACAATTACACCCTTCCAGTTTAGGCGGTTCATAAATTTAAATAGACTATCATTTTGCAGACTGTGGTGGACAATCGCAAATCTAGAACTAACTTCCGCAAGGTGTCCTTAAACCACTTCTTGAACGCCAAGTGTTTGTGCCAAAGACACGAAATTGCCCGACAGGATGATTTAGCGGTGGAAAGGATGAAACGTGGGCATCAAATGGAATGAGTCAAATTAGGAAGTCGGACCCCTGGGCTACTCATTTGTCTGATGTTAACTTAATCAAATCTTTATTTGCAAAGTGGATTTTGGGAAGCTTTGCAGTACAATGCCACGTAATGCCTACTTCAATTATTAGTAAGAGTTCGCTTCTCAACAATGTTTCGCGAAGCAGAGAAATGCACCTGCCTTCTTATTTCCGCCCTGGTTCGCCTTGTTTCAATTCTCCGTTCATAGGGAAAAGATGCATTACTTAGAGAATTTGTTTGACTCTTCGTTTTGGTTTCGCTAGCACTTCAAGCCTGATCGTTGTACTTCCGCTGGCTGGCATGAGCTTCCAGTAGCCGCGCAGCCTTTCGGAAAGACTCAGGGCACTGCAATGGTGGCAACGGACAGGTACCTAGATTCGCATTCCGAAAATGTTAAACCCTGAGGTGGCGGAAGAAGCGCATATGCTGCTGATGGGCAAATTGGTGAGGACCTGCAACAAAAGGGTTGAAAATGACGTCTACCTCTGGGAAATACCCCAGTCCCGGTGTTATGCAGGGATCTTGGTCACAAGTGAGGTGACACTAGCTGTAGACGTGAACCGCCTGCAGATGTTCTTTACGTAGCTGTCTGCGCTACGTGAAGGAGGACGTCATTTGTGTAAACCCGCGATACCTCCTTTATCTCTCTACCAGCTGGATGGAAGCCAGGTAGTTAGACATGGCTGGGAAGCACTGAAGTGAGGACAAAGTAGCAAAAAGGAATAAACGTGGTACCTCATTCACGTGGACCCATTTAAACCCCCTTCTTTACTAAAAGACTTGGTTTTTTAGGTCAGTGTTCCTACGACCAGCGATGTGAATGCGTGATGGCCATCACATCTCCCCTTCTAGTGGAAGTGAAGAGGGAGTTCAGTGACTCTGCAGTCAATTATTTCCTCAATCGTGATCAAATTTGATGACTGACGCGGTTGGTTCGTCTGTGTTTTGCCTTACAACACCAATTACGTTGGGGTGGCCGGAAGCGGGGGACTGTTTGACCAAGGGGAGTGCCTGGGGTAACGCTTAGAAGGGGAGGGGGATTACGTAATCCTTTGATTAGCGGTTTGACTCCTGGTTTTGGTTGCGCGGCCACCGAAAGCTCCGTCATTGTACCGTCCCGACGACATGGCCTCTGGGTTCTGCCAGTAGCTCCCCAGCCCTTCTTAAAGACTCGAGGTGCCTATAAATTTAATGCCTTAAATGAGTTACTTGATCATTTTTATAGTAACGGTGATACACTCCTCGGTTGTGCAACTGTCGTTTTTGTCATTTATTAATGAAAACGTATATGCGGGAACGTGAGTGCTGAAACAACTCTCGACAATGCGTATTTTCTACTGAGACATTCAAAATAAATGAGAGTACTTAATAACTTTGATGCGAAATCGCCCAAGATCTGAGGAGGAATAAAAACCAGTATCACCGTTGATTTTATTTGCAAGAATTCAATTGAATGTGTTGTAAAAGTCACATCGGCATGCCAATCTGATTGGACGACCTGTGCTCGCGGAGGCAATAGAAGGTAAACTGCTTGAAGAGACACACATGTTTTTACTCCATGTGACCTATGTCATATCGTGTTTCATGGAAGCACTTTGTCCACTTCCGATTCCCTTATTCAATGTCATTTCTGGGGACATTGGGGCGGGTGGGTGCATAAGACTAGCATGTCACAAGTTGATGGTGAGCTTTGGTGTTGACAAATTGCAACCGTTTGTCCCTGGTGAAGGCAGCATGCAACACCTCCAGGCATCGGGAAACCACTGAACCCCCTGCCTGTTGGACGCCCTAATGTACGCATTGTGGTGAGAATTACCTCATTTTAATCAAGTTTGTAATCAAAGTGTCTTGCCTAATCCTTTCGTTTGCATAATTAATGCAGTAGAAACACCGGAGCATCATTCGTTGATGGCGTGACACGGTCTGTTTTCACCACACCAATGACAGCACAAGTGACCTGCACTTCCACAAATGAATTATTTACCTGATTCACTGGAAATATGCCTACTAACCTGCTGATCCACTTTTTTCATGGTGCGTGTCCTCGAGAGCCAGTGAAGCAACTAACTGTCATGAATCACTGTGGTGACTTCGATTCACTTTGACGTGATGGAATGATGTGAGCTGTTGTGACGTCGTACACAAGCTATGCGGAACCGACGAATGGCCCTGTTGTAATGCAGACGAAGGCCAAGTGGTGGTAGAGGTAACCCTGCGTCATATTTTGCCTTAACAAGTAAGCGAGTGTGGGTAATTCAAAGTACTTTTAAGATAACCAACATGTCGAGTTGTTTACTTTCAGACATTGGGTCTAAAAGCACTGACACTCAGATTTTTGTGAAGTAACGACCGCTTTGCCAGTGGCAAAATATTGTCAAAAGCACCAAAATGTACTGATAGTTAGGAGGCGGGTAGCATAAATCCGAAATTGTTTGTCCACTTGTTCTTCATTTAATGGGGCAATTGAGGTGGTAATTTTTTTGTTGCCAGACTGTTTTAAGGCATAAATAATAATTAATCTCAGAAAAGTAGTGCAGGATTGTTATATTGCCAGCTTTGTGAAAGGATTGTGACTTCCGAACATTGTGAACAGAGGAGAAGTTTTGATAAATCCACCAAATTAAACCCATACTTTGGCATTAATTTGACAGCATAGTTCTTGCCACAAAAGGAATAGGGAATTTCTCGCAGTAGCAAATTCACTGAATCCAGAAGTCATTACACAAAAAGACCGCGGTTTCAATTTGAAGACCCTCTTCGTATAGCATGACCATGATTCGGACAGCGGAATAGCCTAATCCAAGTAAACATCAATTACAGATTCTTGAATTGTTCTATTTATTGATAAAAACCAGTCAGTTCGTTTGCACCAAATTTGGTGGCAAGATTGAAGAGGGAAGTGGTGGTTACTTGACTGCCCTAGGCGAAAGCACAAATGTCGTTGGTGAAAATCGGTACTTTCGGTTGGGCCGACGGACGCGCTTCGCTCAGGCAAAGCAGAGCGATCGATACTCGGCGCACCGGCCGGCGTGACGGTAGCGGCAGCACCACTGCTCGAGGAAAAGCTGGGCTTTGAAGGCCATCAACGCACTCGTTACAATACTGGAAATCACGCATATTCGTAGCTTGGTATAATGAGAGGTAAAGTGATTTTATTCTATGCCTTAAGTGAGCCTATTACACAAGGGGGCAGGCGATAAGATCCTATAACACACTAAAAAACGGAGGGACAAATTAGCCAAAAACACGGATAACGCCTAGGCGAAACTGACTGAGCCATTAACACAGCCAGTTAACATAAAATTTACCCAATCAATAGCAAACTATCTTTAATGGCAGTGGGTAACTATTTTCGTGCTTTTAAGATAAAAATGCGTCGTCAGGCAAGTAAATGAGGCACATTTGTCAAAGTCTCAATTAAATTCTATTTTACTTTTATTCGAACCGGCTTGATAGTGCTGTTTAAGCTGATTTTACGAAAGGACGTTAATTGATGCATGCGATCCACAAATCTGATCGACGTAACTGTGGCGCTTTGATAGTTTGTTTAACTCTGCGTCTGATTACGCGGACACTCATGTAGCCGCAGCTTGTACCCCGGCCCAGCAACATGGCTTCCAGGCTATGCCAGTTGACTCAGCTCCTCTGTGCACAGATGTATTAAAGGCAAGATATGTGACAGTCTTCAAAAACAACTCTTTCCTGAATTAAGGTCGTTTTTGGTCAGAATCACTACTTTTCCCTGGTTAAACTTTGGGTTTGGTTCAAATAAATGTTCATTTAGTCAAGTCGAGATGGACAGGGCTGATGAGGTTCCGGAATATGTTGTGCCTAGACCAAGCCTGCCAATCCTAGTGACGGTGCGGCCCCCGAGAGACCAACTTTTATCCGAATGACCAACATCCCAGCGTAAAATTCTCGGTCAGTATTAACAGCGACGTGGGTGTATTGCAACTCCAGCTAGTTTATCGGCAACGCTGCTACAACATTTGGGGTAGCTTTACACGTTTTTACAAGTAAACTCTCATTTTCATGGTTGTAGTCGCAATATGCTCGCGTCAGCCGCAAGGTGTGGTCGCAACTAACTCCTTAATTGTTACAAGTTCTTAAAAACTGCCGTAATAAACCATGTCTTTAAAATTGCCTACCTGGGTAGGAGGTTGCATTAGGGATGACTTCACGATTAAAAATAACGCCTACATTTATCTCCACTCTTTTTCCCAATTTCCCGCCTTCGATTCAAGGCCAAGTCAGCCACAATGTAAGACCTGTCAGCCGATTGGTAGGCAGCAGCTGAGCTAATCAGCCAATGAAATAGCAGGCTCCTCTTCCAGTCACACACTAGCCGTTAAAAAGGGCGAGTTCTGGGTGGCGTGACATTGGTTTCAGAGGTGAAGGATGGATGGTGGTGTGAAGGTGCCGGAGGCGGGCTTCCCTTTCCACCGGGTTGAGGGCGATGGCAAGGAGGGCAAACTCGATGAATTCACCCTGAAAGTAGATGTGGACCAAATTCTCAAACGTCACGCTGGAAACATAGGTTTTGTGCAACTTGCCATGGTTACCGTCAGCGCACTTACCCTACCAGCTGCCGTTTACTTTCCCGTATTTGCTAACGCCCAACTACCACATAGATGTCGAATGGACCAGGCTACGGAGGATCGGTACAGGTCAGAGTTTAATGAATCAATCAGCGACTCATTTGACACGGTTGCTGCCTTAGTAGGTCCCTGGACTTCGTCCACCCTACCTGCCAGTATGGAGGATCGCGCGTTCGGTTGTCATAGGTACCAACCCCCAATCATGTCACCAATCACTAATCAGACTCAATTGTCTACCATTCCATGCGACAAGGGCTATGTGTATAAGTTTTCCCCTCAGCAGTATCCTGGAGGCATAGTTAACGAATGGGACCTGGTGTGTGACCAGGCCTGGAAGGTGCCATTCAGCACCTCGATGTATATGGTAGGCATGCTCGTCGGTTTTGTCGCCGGAGGCTTAGCTGGTGATCGATTCGGTCGTCGGCTGACGGCCCTCATCGCGTGTATCTTTGAAGGCCTGTCCACGATAGCCGTCTCGTTGTCACCCAATTTCTGGTGCTATGTCGTCTTTCGTTTCTCTCTTGCTTGTTCCTGCTCCATCAAAATAGCTGTTCTCCTGGTTTTGTGCATGGAAATGACCACAGCTCATCAGCGCTCCCTTATCAATGGAATATGGACAATCACCATATGTTTTCTATTGAGAGTTATGCTTTCTCCATTGGCCTACTGGTTTCCTGATTGGCGTTGGCTACACGGCATTTTGTGCATGGGTACCTTCTTCAGCTTCCCGTCAATTTTCCTATTTCCTGAATCACCCCGATGGCTCGTTTCACAGCATCGGAATGCAGATGCCCTACACCAACTCTACAAGATCTACCGGGTGAATCTACGAATGAGGCTTTGTAAGGAAAAGGCGGCACCAGTGACGGAGGAGGAGTTTATTCGTAGGATTCAAGAGGAGGCTTCAACACTGAAGACGAATGGTTCTAAATCGGCATCCTCGACTCATCCACCGCAATCGCAGTTTGGTCAAGTGCTCAGGACTTTCAGAGACCGCAAGATGGTCCAAATAACCGTGCAGTGCGTTCTCCTCTTCTCCGGTCAACTGGCCACCACTTTTGGCCTAATCTTCTACGGCAGAACCGTTCGTGCGAACGTCTACCTGGTCAACTTTTTTAACTCCGCCACCCAAATCCCCGCAACCATTATCTCGGGTCTGATGTACCGCTACTGCAAGCGGCGTAAGCTGCCCATCATGGTGATGTACATCTTATCCCTTGTCATTCTCACCATTGCCTCGATATACAATTGGGCTGTGAAACCCGAATCGGACCTTGTGTTAAACATTTGCTGCAACCTTGCACTGATCCTGTTGGCTGCAGCGCTGAATATGGTTTTCATGTATGTGCCTGAGCTCTTTGCCTCCGAGGCACGAGCTCTGGGACTGGGCATGGCCTCTGGACTGGGTCGAGTCGGCGGAATTATCTGCCCCTTCTTGAACGCGCTCGATTCTGTCATCTTTCACGGTTTTCCTATCATCATTTACGTAGCTATTCTCTTCCTGGAGCTGGTGAATTTGTTCTGGTTGCCGGACACGTCTGGACGCAATTTGTTGGACAACTTGGAGCAGAAGAAGGATGGGGATGAGGGGGAGGAGGAGGAGGAGGAGGAGGTGGTGGACGTAAGGGATGATGGTGATGGTGGTGTTGACGAGGAGGATGGAGAACCGATTTGGGCGTCGACTGTGGACGAACTGGTCGCGTCCACGCATGTGATTCGCCCCACCACGGATATCCGGGATGTTGGTAATATGAGAAAATAAGAAACATGAAATTTGGGAACTTTAAAAATAAGGCTAGTTTTTGCTTGTGATGTCCCAAAAGATGGTCAGAGTGAAAGTGAAATACATGAAGGGCAAGAGATGGAGCCTTTTGTGGTTTTTAAGACTGTGCTGTCATAGTCCGAGGCAAACAGTTTACTTGGTTGAGGCAAGGCCACAATGTTTAGCTATTTAGGGGACATAACTGACAAACCGAAGATGGGTTTGTGATACTTTGCAGTGGGGAGAGTGACTGCGTTTGATGGTGTCGTGTGGGTTGATTTGTTGAAGGTAAGCAGTAAATGAAAGGGGACCTAGTAGGAATAGGTCGAGTTTCACTACAGCCTTGTCTTAGCCACACTACTACATTGTCAGTCCACCGAAGCCAGTTGCTTTGTTGCCTCGTGTATTATGCATGGACTGGACGCCTACTTGTTTGACATGCCCAGGTCACCAAGGCGTGTCCGTTTGGCCGACAGACGACATCCGTGGTTCATTCCGCAGACGAGATCAACGTGTAAATTCCAGTACTAGAGGTGGGAGGCTATTACTTCAGTGGACGTTAAACTAACCGAGCGCGTTCAGTCATGAATGGCCGGGGAATTTTGCAGCACTGCATGCCGACTGGCTGGTTCTAATGTCCATGAGCTAGTCGTAGGCAAGAGGACGGCGGCACTCCTTGCAATGCATCATGTTCAGAGGCAGTAGTCCACCTACAGGTCCGAATTTATGTATTCCCTGAGGCGGCATTGTAAGATCCCATGTCGCAATTAACCGAGAAACATCTTCAGTTAATTGCAGCATTTGATGTACATTATGGTCGTAAGTACCTGTCATAAGTGTTTGAAGGGGACAATTTGAAAGGAGGTTTGCGAAACACTAGCAGAATTGGAGGTCAAGAAGATTTGACTAGTACATCACCGACGCAACTTACGTACCACTTTAACCAGCAAAATATTTTAGCCGAGAGGTAAGAGACGGCGACGACCACCACCATTCAAAGGGCGAGTATCGGCTGCTGACCTGACCGTGACACGTTTATGGGTAACTTGGTGATTTTGCTCATAAAAGTCATTTTGTAAATCATCCCATCAATGAGACGCTTTAGTACGAAGACGTTCTACCAAAGTGTAGCATTTACGTGCACTGCCCAGAATTTGCTGGCAAATGCAATGGCCTACCACAAGTGCTATCCTCACACTGGACTCCGTAAATACATTGGGACAGTAATTATTGACGGCTGAAACTCTTTTAATTGCCCCACATGTGGAATGGAGCAGGTATCGCCTTTCCATCTAGGCACAACATATCATCAACTTTTATTATTTAATTTGGAAATGGGGATAACTCCGTAAGTCAATGCTTCACTACCTTGCCTACCAATTATAAGGTGGGAAGCTTTTGAAAGTCCACTTACTTGCCAAGACTTTTGCTGTGACAGTCCACAGATTTAATTGCTCACTGCAGATGGTTGGAGTAACCTTAGAGAAATAAAAGCCACACAAGCCTTAACGGGACCATAAAAAGGAGTTGCAAATCAGCAACAGAGGCGATGTGAGCATTTTGGTCCCCGGTGCAGGCATGATAGCCGAAACGTGGATGGTTGGATAAGTGCGTATAGCTAAACACGTGAAGAAGTCAGGTTTTATTCGAAGTCTTTTCCCAGACAGACGTCAATCGCCTTTGGAGTACGGCTTTTGTTATTCATAAGGCGTAAAAACCGTTTGGTATGCACCACCGCCTTGCCAATCCTGAAGTCGCATCATTGCACAGTTTGCATTACGTGTCTTACAGGAGGTGACTGGAAAATCTGCTTAATCTTATTTGCATTTAAAGGATTACCAAGATACCAAACCATCGTTTGTATCTGCAATGTAGTCGAACTTTGCTTGTTTTAATCGTCTGTCCTCGTGCTCGAACCTTTTATCGTGCCGCAACCCCGGCTACTGGGGTGATACCGTAGGTCTGGGAGCGGACCTGTACCTCAATAATATGACTACTTTTAGATTAATGGGATTATACTGCCTTTAGAAATAGTTTGGGCACCGTTCTAAAGGCAGCGTTGATGAATAAACTCTTTAATACGCGGAAAAGTGTGAGGAGACTCACAGTACACAAGTTACTGTAAACCCTCACACATTGACATCTACCTCAATCTCGAACCGAAATCGTTCAGAAGGGAATACTTGTTGCATTATTTTGATTACAGCGGTTAGTAATACTGATCGGAGGACACCTGTCATTGTGTTTTTGTTGGTGGACATAGTTATGCTTTTCCAAACGAGTTTTCTTTTAAGCGGTTGGGCTAACAGAAGAAATGGCATGCAGAAATTTCGTCAGAATCCATGATACCCACTGCCGCTGATGAAAGAAAAACGCTTATCAGAGCACCTTCATTCCCCCCTCGTGGTTAACTAGAATCCACGGGAAAGCAGAAGAGGTATCATGGACGAGACTCAAAAAGATGGGGTGGATGTGTAGCACGGACTTGACCTCAATGCTGGTGGGATGCAGCCGTGTCAATGACCTCCGAGCACATCTGTGTGTCAGTAAGGCATCCTTCCCAGGACTGCCATAACTGATAACGTCTTCAACAGCAGCTCGAATGCCACTGTATCATCGATGGATCGCATTTTGTAGCTTAGGAATAGTCGAAACCTCAGATTAGCACATGACTACACCGACCTGCCTAAATCAAATATTTCTGGTTATTTTGGGAATAAATGACATCTATGTCACCTCGGTCCCCGCTGATATACAGGAGTCGCATATCCTTCAGAATCTAAAGTTATCCTGAGAGGAAACTCAGTTGCAAATCTCAGGGGCCTACCACGAATCATTTTTGTGCATTACGCTTAGATGGGGAGGGAATTTCGCTAGGAGACGATTGTTTTCAATGCAGCCGCGTAAAAGTTATAGAGGGTAGATTTGATTTTATGTCATTTCAGATCACATTCCTGTGTTTTGACAGCTTTGCTGTACTCGGTTCAAAACATAAACAATTCATTCCAATGACTTGAAAACCACGCTAGATGGTGTACTTATTGTGTTTAAATCTGATCAACTTTGAAATTCTACTTTTACCGCACCCACGAGGTGGAAAATTATGTTTTCTGCTCACAACAATTCCTCAACAGGAAAATGGAACAAAGTTTTTAGCATTTTAGAAAGAAGTCGACGCTGTTCCAAAGTTATTAGAAGGTTATAAAAATAATAAATCTTGTTTTAAGACTTATTTTGCTCTAAGTGACGATTTCACACTAGCCCCGGAGCTTTTTGGTGAGAGCAATCGACAGTCCACACAAAGTCTTCGTCCTTGCTTCGACCCCAAAATCTTGTCTGGAAGGGAAAGGTCGGGCGACTTCCATCCCTTGCTCAAGTAAATATTGTAAGCTTAGGAAAATAGTTAACGATTAAACGAAGTACGGTAAAGTGCCTCCAACTTCAAACTCTTAGATCGTGGGGCTTGAGTAGGGGCGGATACCCTATATTCTAGTAGTATGGGGGGAGGGTAAATTACAGATTAGGCAAGTTTACAGGGAAACATAGTTGCCCTCCTCCTTGGGGTCCGAAGACGGCTATTCAGCTACAAGGTCGATGTGAACTAATCACTTGTCACCCAGGGGCCTTATTCAATCATCCATGTGTCACATAAGACCGATCTCCGCTGGTTGAAACTTAAAAGCAACTTTCATGACCACCAAGACAAGCAGGAATTCATTCAGTAAATGAGCTATTAAAATGATGCACTAAATCGCCCCCCAAATTGGCTCTCAGCACTTCGTTTCGTCTTGCTGAGAAATGAGAGGAACTTTCTAGGAAATATCTCTTCCAGCACCTCTACCTCGTGTTATCTCTAGTTTATCGCATCTCTGGCCTGAGTCAGTCAAACCGTATTGCATGAGCGACTTACGCCCACCTCTGGAAGGACAACACAAGCGATTACTTTAGGTCTGGAGCAATTCAGATTACAGCTCCTTATTCATTTCAGACAGTTGGAGGTTGTCACAAGCCCAGTGCTCCGTACAGGTCCGAGAGGTGCTGCATACAATTTAATAAGTCGCATTTCTGGCTTCTATCAACGACATCATCCAACAGTCTCAAAGTAAGAACATTGGAAGCGCAGTTTAAGGTCTTTAAAATGCTGCTTCACGTAAGTTTTCCAAAGACACACATCAAGTGCTTAATTCGAGTTTTAGATTAACCAAGTAAGACCCAACTCTTCAAGGGTCTTTGAAGATCCCCATGCGCTTCAAAGCATAGGCTTATAAACTTCCCCTTCAAGGGGGGGAGGAGCATTTAGGACGAACAGAGTTTCCGGGTTATGCACACTTAAAAAGTGTACTGCCTCGGGGCTACTATTGCGTGTAGCAGCGCCAGAAACATGCTTCTTCCTTCCTGATATTCCATGCGGTTCCTGCTTTCTCCACCATCAAGGATCATGCAACCAAGATAACAGAATCATAACATGATTGCGTATCCTAGTTTCAGCCATATCTCGCAATCGGAGTAGGTAACTGTAATTTAAACGCGCGTAAACAATGGGGTTGTGGTGCCAGCAGCAAGTGGTAGAAATGACACCACGAACACTAGCAGACAGTGCACACGTCGAGGGCCACTCCACTACAGACACAGTTACTTTTTGTGGACGACAACAGCAACCTGCAAAAGCGCGTAATGATAAGGTATCTAAGTAACAAAGGCTATAGCCCGAAACCCACAAGCAAAACCCCATTGATATCCACTCGTATCCACACAAGAATTCATGCGCAGCACGGCACGGTGATGGGACACTAAACCACACAACCGCTCAACAGCACGACAACTGTGTGGAGTGCCTCTTTTAAACACGGTCAGTCATCTCTAGTGGTTTAGGGCCAACCACAATGTCAGTAATGTCAGTGGCCACTTCCCAGCGTGTGCAAAATCTAATTCTGGATGCATGATCGAGGCATCAAAGTCCGTCGCGGCATGACGTTGTGCAAGAGGCGAATGTTTCTGCGGAAGAGGCGAACACGGTCATCCACAAAAATCTGCTAAGTAAATGAGTTAGTGCATGCTGAGGAAAAGGGCAGTTTTGTGTGTTTTGAACAGTCTCGAATGGATGAACGGCATTAAACAGGTTGTTCTGGAACGGCTCAGAGGTTCTATTTACGCTTTCTATACCGAAGCGTTCAAGTGCATGACTGTCGCAAAAACTTACATAGGGAACCTAGCATAGACTTTACCACTAAGACTTGGCCCAGTTATTTGGTGAATTCATAATTATTAGGTCCATGTAAGAAGCACAATGTAATGCGGAATTCATTGACACTTAGAATTTTCGGCCAAATAACACTCCATATAAGTGAAATGAATGTTTAGCTTAGTTTACTTTATTAGGGAATCGGGCAGGCACGAAAATGAAATTGTGGTTTTTTTTGAATCACTGGTTTTCCTTTACATGGTAACACTCATCATTTCCAGTGAAAAACGTGGTTTGTCAGTTTTCCAAAGTACGGTACTGCATCAATGTGAGGTTAAAGAATGACTGGGATTTACCGCATTAATGTCATTATTTGCAGAAGGTTAGTTTAACGGCATCATTTTTCGTCCATTTATCTGACTGAAACTTGGCAGAAGTTCTCAACACCTCAGTCGTTAGTAATGTTTCAAGCAACTTGTTTTCTGCAGTGAGGCTCACTTTACAGAATTTAAGCCGCCTCATGAGGAATCTTCCAGTTTGAATACAATCAATTCCACGACCGTTTGACTCAAACATGGCCCAAAATTCTGTAAATTACTCAACAGCAAAAATATTGCCCTCGCGTGTGCAACAACTAAAAAGCGACAATTTTGTGTTCTGTTATTTGCATCATTAGAAAAAGCCAAATGTAGGGTTGAAATCATGGCTTAACGACACCGAAAGACATCCAAGTTAAATATCCTTGAATTCAATTGGTGGGTTTTCCTGGCGCTTACTTGTTTCTGTGGTTCGTGTGTGATTTTGCCAGTGCATATGGATCAGCCTGATACACTGGCATCAAGTTCATAGCATAATTCGAGGAAATAATAACCGCTCTTAACACGATGTCGAAGCCAGGCAGTGCAGAAGTACTGTTAAAGTCAGCAAGTGCTGCTCGTTATGACAGCCTTGAAATCCCGGGACTCCTGAAACACGGGTATGTGCTGTATTTACGCTTAATGGGGTAGACGTGTGTTACTAATGCGCGAATTGTTCCAATGCGGAAAACCCCTTCCGATAGAAGACTTGTGCACAGAAGATGATGTCAATGAAAAAGGACCCACAACACCTGCGTACGTGGTCTTGCAGATTTATTAACGCCAGTGGAATATGCTCATGCATTTGTCGTCTGCGCTGTACTTTTTGTGCTTTTCAATCTCCTTTCTTCTCTTGCTGATGACACAAATTTTGTGCAGGGGAATTGAGAAACTGGTGTCCTAATAACTGCGTCACTTTATGTATCATTGTTTGAAAGACCGCTGTTTTATTTTTCGAGATGTTTGCTTCGATGTGATTTAAGTTAACTGCTGAAATCCACAATAGCCTGGTACCTTAATCATGAGATCGTGGCATTCTGTAATTCCCCACTTTCCTGTATACCTCTGGCTTCCGCGAACATCCGCAGTTATGTGTGAATGGTATTGAGGGAAGTAGAGCGAAGCCTGCTCCTGTTTCCCCTACCGCCCCGTCCATTCCCGCGAGACCCGTGGAGACTCCTCCCTTACGACAGTTATCTCCCCTCTCCACCCCAGGTAAGAGGTAGTTGGGTTCTCTGCATTAATATCCCAGACTGAAATTTTAGTTCTTTCTTCAGCTGATCCCCTTTGTCATGAAGAAGCAGAGGAGCAGTTTTATGCAACAACTTTTGTGTCTTTTTCGGTGTTAAAAAGTATGATAGACATCTTTTCAAAGTGAATCCAGTCGATGTACTCTTGCATCGGCCCTGTTGGGAGCTCTCCTCATTTTTCACTATCAAGGGCTTACCTCGAACCCTGAGAGAGGTTATATGTACACTGTGTATGCGCGTAATATTCGGCTTTTTTGTGTAAGTCATGAAGTAGGTGTTTTATTTGCACTCGTAGACTGTCACTGCTCCACATACACCCCCTTCCCACGTGTACACGGTGTACTTGACATTAGTGGGATTCTACACCTTATTTGCCTACTTCTATGCATTTCTTTCTGTCTTTTAGCCACAGGAAGTAAGGAATTGAGCGATGCGGGGATGACACCATCAGATGGGTAAGTTGTTTGTCTCATAAATGCTCGCTTATGTGGTTGGTTAACATCCGAAAGTTACTAAGAGGCAGGTGTGCACATACACGTATGTTTTGTGCATGGTCGTCAATTGTTGGTGTGTTTGTGGCCTGCCCGTTTATCAATCACCCACAGCTTTGTGGAATCTAGCGATGTACTGCGAGTTCCGTTTTACATTTAAGTGGTTATGCCAGTTTTCGTTCTGATTTGTGCCTACTTAGTCAACACTCTTTAAGTGCCTTTTTGTTTTCCCATTGGGAAGTAACGCTTAGTTAGACTTGCTTATCCAGAATGAGGAGTGGGATTGTTATCCTGACTCAGCAGCAGGAACTTGGTCTCTAGTTTGGACGCACGAGGAGGGCAGAACAGAGACCTAGGTAGCAAAGAATTTAAGTAGGGAGCCGCGCTTATTTTCTGTCCAGATTCGAATTATACAGGTCCACAGGCGAGCGGAAAGCTTGCACTCGGGTTTGTAGTTGTAGCCACGTTGGCGAAACAAATCCTGTTAAGTAGGTGAAAAATGTTGCCTCCCAGTGATAGAGGCGACAATGATGAAAGCAGTTGTAGCAAGCATTTGTAAAAAAGGGAAGAAGGGGACTAAATGCCACAAAATGTGACAGCGATTTCTGTTCGTAATGTGTGTACGGTTATCTTTTATTGAATAAAAAGAGGCGCACACTGGATTCGAGGCCCCATAACCATTGTACTTACCGCGCATTTCGCTACCATTACTTCCCAACTATGTTTTTTAGTACCCCTCTGTACATATAACAACTCCGAAATACGTTACAAGCAGTTCTACTGTCGGTTTTCTGCTTTTGGGAAGGGAAATGTCTTTAGTGGCTAGGAGCAGCTGTCGGCTTATTGAGTGTCAGGTGTCAAGAAACTGTTCTTATTTTCTATAGGGCAATTTCAAAGACTCTCTCACCATCAGTGGAAGCCAGTGAAAGCACAACTCGGGTATGACAAATTTCCTTCGAAAGTGGGATTTTAAGTGCCCTTTTGATCCCTTTTGGTTCAATTACTATCCTGAAATTGTTAAGAATCTCCACTCTTGATGATTAAAAGATTTCTAGCTACCCCAGAGATTGGTTGTTTTCAGGACCGTAACGCTTTGTGTGAGGCTTTGAGCGAAGAGGTCTCCTCTCTTCCCCCTTCCACTGAATTGACAGCAGAGGTGAAAGAGGGTGCAGAACCGGAGAATCTGCCTCCCCGAGAGGACATCCTGGAAGTCGATGGAGAGGTCGACGAGCGTTCCCCAGACGAGGAGGGTTTGGAGGGACCAGATGAAGTTTTTGAAGATGGTGAGGAAGACGATTTGGCGGAAGAAACGAGTTCAGAGGACACTGCTGACTGGGATCCAATTGATGAGAACACTTGTAACGAGAAGATGGCCAAATTTGCGCTCCCTCCACATCTCCATCCTGTAGCTGGTGTGTCAAATGACCCCATTAACTATCCTACCTATATAGGAGGCAGGGATTGTCACTGTTTAGTTCTTGCACCAGTTAAACCTTAATTCACGCTCTGCCGCTTTATCCTCCCAATTCGGATTTAAAAGCGTGGATTGTCTCCTGGTATGGCATCGTGATCTTATCAGCTACAGTTGCTTTTTTATTTTTCGTCAGTGAGCAGCTTATCTGCTAGATCATCTTGGTTGTGCTACTTTTGTTTCTACCTTATAAGCCACTTTCTCTAGCTCAACAGCCTTAAAACTCTATGACAGTGAGAACAAAATGCGAAACTTTTGTCCTCAAATAGAGTGAGCTTTGTTGATATAAGGATTGCAATTGACGCTCCAAGTCCACGTGAAACCATCCAGGCTATTTAGTAATTTATCTCTCCTTTTAAAGAGCAGTGTATTGCGTTCTTTTCTCCCCAGTAAACTGTTTTTCTGTCTGGTTCCTCAAGGCGATATTAAATTTATTTGCCTGGGTAGAAAAGTGGGTGCTGCGATGAGAATCTTTGTAAATTGATGTTTGCAAAGCATTTATGAAAGCAGGAACTTTTAACTCCCATCTTTATTGCACTATCTCCTTCGGATTTTTTTTATAAACCAAAGTTAGATCGTTTTATTTTTACAAACGATTGTTTTGTATCGATAGGAAGGCATTGTTTGAGATGGCGCAGAAGTAGCAAATTACTTTTGTGGAAGAAGGGAGGTGGAGTTGGACTGATCCGTTGTTTGGTCTCCTTTGTTTCAGTCAACAACTCGGGCGTGTATCTGCTGGAGGATGGGCACTTTTTTTACCAAACAGATGGAATTCCACCGCTATCGGATGCCGAGCAATTGCCTTCTCCTTCGGTGGAATTACCCCCATCGCCGGTTGAGGTGGAATCTTCAAGTTCGTCTAAGACGCGGCGATCGGTGAGCTTCAGTACTGAGCCTATCACCGTAAGTTGCCAACACTTAAGACAGTTATTTCTCCACATTTGTACGATGAATGGTCATTTTTGCGTTCATTCAACCAGTCTTGTGCGATCGTGCCAGTGGACAAACTAGCTGCTCTCCAAAGTGAAGATACCCACAAAACTTATGAACTGCATTCGAAAAGAGGCTGCGGCATCCTCTCATAGTCAGAAGGTGTGTCGGGACCACAAGTTAGTCTTGATAAGCGTGTAGTGCGTAGAGATGAGGTTCTCTCTGCCGGAGTCGTCTGTGAGGGAATCTCATTACTGGCGTGGTTGGATACCTAACCGACAGCGGCAGTGATCACGAGGAACGAAGAGGAACCTCTGAAACAGAATGGCACCTTCCCCGGAAAACCAATTTTGAATGGTTATGACCTCTCTGGCCGAATGCTTTATAGAGAGGAGGAAGGGGAGTACTTAGAAATTGGTTTCCCGCACCTGGATCACGTTAGAAGGTTTAAAGTACGAAGGCTTTTAAACTCCCCTTGGGATTTGTACGATCGGTCCTTTCTCTGGTGGTAATTCTAGACCACGTTGAACTGACCTTTATGGGAGGAAAGGTCAGTGCTTTTTTAGTCTGCTTGACCTTTGGCCCTGAAACATCTGCGGTCCTTGCGAAGCTCGTAATCAGGGAAGCCTTATGTGCAATGGAGTGGGAAGTGGTCGAAATGCCTGATGTTTTGATGTATTTTTGTCTTTTGCAACTGCAGTATTTCTGCTTTGCGCTTTTTAAAGCTAACCAATTTGCACGTTCCGGTTTTTTTTCGGTGCATGCCTCCCCAAAAGATTGATTTCGGTGTCTCCTACCGTCTGTTACTTTACGATCCCTAGGTGCTATTCCTTTTGATGGGTCCTTGAATTATGCCAACCTGTTTCCTGAAGGGTTGTTTTTTGTTTTCTGCCTCACAGAACTTTTTTCTCTTGCTCTAAACTTTGTTTTCTTGAAACAATTTTTTGAAAAGTATATTCATCTACAACATTCACATCAACTGTAACGTTTAGTGTCGTTATTGCTCTTGAGCGCCGCTTTTTGCAACTTAATATTAGTTATCCGGGTTCGTGTTATGAACTGTTTGACATAAGTTGCATTTTTTTACTGTTCAGTTGATAAGCTGTACTTCGTGTTTGGAAAATGCTCGGTTTTCACCTTTAATCATCCCACTGCCAGTAGTAGCGTGTTCTTTACTAGCGTCACAAATATGCGACGTGGTCTTACTCAGCTCGTTACTGGTTCCACCAAATCATGTTGTAGACAAAACAATTAAATTTAGAACAAAAGCGGAAGTAGGGTACTTGTAGTCTGGGAGAGATGGTTTTTTTAGAATTGGAGCAACATGTTCTTTACTATAACCCATCTTCTATGGGTGGTCGATTTTCTTCTGGAATGGCAGTAGCGATCTTGTTAAGTGATGCGCGAAATTCTACCCTTTAAACTCTGAATCCTTTGCCTTTTAATGTCACTAGTGTTAAGGCCACGGAAAATCACGATTTGTGTTGGAGACCGATCTGGTTCCGCGTCCATGCGTTACTTAATTTTCAGTGTCTTGGAGGCTTGCAGACTGGTGGCGGTTCAGTACCAGAGCAAATTGCCCTCGGTGCAATAGATTGCCGACCATTAATTCTGGGCTGGGAGCCTGCAGGCGGGTAATGATCTGACGGACTTGTGTGTTAATTGTCAGATCGTTTCATTTAGTAAAAGTGGTTTACCGAGTGATTGGCTAATTTAGTCGGTTCCTTTGCTAATCCTATTGGCAAGAAGTTGGTTGCCTCGTACATGCGACTCATTCGGGCCAACTGGCAATCATTGAATTCAATATTCCAGTGTTGCTGTTGCCTATGGAACAAGATTATTCCGACTGCCTATTTATTCGGACGGAAATCTATTTCGAGTGCGCCACTCGTTACGATTTAAAGAAAGTTAGCGAGGCAATCTTTGGTGACAAGAGACTGCGGTTCTATGCTTGGGTGTGATGTATAGCCGAAAGGAGGGGAGTTGACACACTGCTTCTTTTGAGGTGACAGTGAATGAAACTTACTTCTCCTCTGCGTATTTGAAGCTTTTCGCGTGTTCTTGTTGCATTTGCAAGCTTTAAGTGCCCTGGTTGGGCATCATACGCATAAGGGATGGGGCCTGTTGTTGCTTGGGTGCTTTCCACAGGCATGAAGGGGAAGCTGACTCCAAAGTCAACCGATTTTTCACTGCTTCCTGTTCTCGCTTCGTTTCATACACCGTAATATGTGTGCATATTTGCAGTACTCTTCTTGTTTGCATAGTTTTTTTTACTTAATTACCCCCTTTTGGTACAACAGAAACGCTTTTTAAGGCATCCCTGATGGAGCCGTTTTAAGTCCAAATAGCGTAGTACTGTCCATTGCAGCTGTCTTTCTGGTCATTCCTTGTTCATGTCACTCCTTTCACACTTTGAGATCTCTACTATGAACCTTCCTGGCTTATATTTTGGAAATTGAGGAGGAGAGACGCAGACACCCTAGTTCGTGTGTTTAACGTTTTGCTTTGGTGCTCCGTCCACAGTTTGATCCCTCTGCGCTTCACTACTTGGTACCGTAAAGCGAATAGAGGTATGTCGAATCGACATTGGCGCAGCCTATGCCGAATCCCAACTGTGGATGACTTTTTGAGTGATGTTAGCTTCTCTTACTCCGACGTTGGTGGCTGTTTCCTACACTTCCGCAATTTTGTCTCACGGCTGTCTAATGTGTCAAAGATGAATAGCATTAGCCGTGTATGATAACATTTCCTAAGTGTATGTGTAAGCAATTTAAGTTAGGTATTTTTTGCGTCCCAGCATTTTTGCTCTCTTGAAGCACTCATTTGTTCGCTGCTCCCAACAGATTCTGGCTATAAATTTGGTTTGCAAGGGCAGTACTCCTACCCACTCTGAAGGCCAGGAAAAGGTTGTTCTAAAGAAATGAGAGGTGCTTCCCTTTGAAGGAGGAAGAGTGAAAAACTAGTGCGTAAATTCAATTTATGTGCTTTCTTGTTGACTAACATGGTTAGCTCCATTAGGTAGTAGAGTGGCATAAGTGTGGGACGTTTGTTTCCTGAAGAAAACCATTGGAGATTATTAATCTTTTAGAGTGGGATGGAGTGGACCCATATCTTTCGCTTGCTCAAGATCTAGGCGGTAAATCGCATTGAATAGTAGAAATGACTGAGGCTCTGGGGCGGGAATAAATGAACTCGATTGCCATTACCTCTTCATCACGCAGACATCTCACAGCACTCGAAGTAACTGCACTCGGTACCAGTCTCGTGACTCGCCATGTGTACAAACACGCCTTCCAGTGGGTGCGTGGAAGTTGAGCAGCTATTTGTGAGATCCACTTGCACTATGCTATCACGCCTCGCTTTCACACTCCACCACAAACATCGTCCGGCTGTTGGCATTGTCATCACACACGAAAACTATTCACCCACCTTGGCCATTTCCATCACCTTACCCAAAGTGGAATTTAGTTGGACGGCACTTTTATGGTCACTAAACAATTTCTTGGTGTTGGGTATTGATCGAAATGGATAAGTGGGGCGGTGTCGTGTTTTTGCCTCACCGGGGACAGTCGTCATCCCACGGGAAAAATTTAATTTAGAAGGACCGTGGGCGCACCATTCCTTAACTTGGTCTCGATAAGCTCCGGCTGACTTATGGCTCTTTGTTTTCATCCTCCTACGTGCATATGTGCCCTGCTGGAATTTACGTGACGCTTCACTTTTGAGCCTTTGGCAGGGCAATTTGTCATAACATGCTCCAGTGACAGGCTATTTGCGTTTGCTTATTTCGGCACCTTTGTGGTCCGTGGTCCGACCAGTTCTCTTCCTAGTCGTGCCATGAGAAAAGTTATGCTTGACAATGTTTTATCCGCTATGTTCGCTATCCCGTTAGCAGCATTTCTTCGCACAGACCTCACGCCTTATTAGTAATTAGCACACTTTTTGGCTTCTTGACACATTTTTTTACCTTGGAGTGGGATCTACCGTTTGGAATGATTAAAGTCTATCGTTTCACCTGCCTCGACTTGGGAATGAAGGATATGATTGCATTTTCCTTTTTGTGTGATTCAGTTTCGCAGTGCTTCGCACGTCCTACCATTTCCGGACAAAAATGTGATTAATGGGCAAAATTGCCAAGGGCAAGGGAGTGTTACATCTCTCAGCTGACGCTTTCGATTTTTGAAAGGCTTCATTGTCCTCCACTTTGTGCTATAGATGGAAAGTAGCAAAAAGTGTTTACGCCTCTGAAACCCTCCTCCCTTGCATCGGTTTACGAAAACACGACTATCATTAGCAGTGTCTGAATTCATCTGCCTTCTTACCACCTCAAAATGTCGAATCCATTTGCGTTGCTCTTGACTAGGCGTTATTTCACTGGCAGTAGCCTATTTGCTCTCCGTAAATCCCTCTTGACATTTATTGCTTCATTTGTCTTCGGAAGCGCGGTTTTTTAGAGCTATCTAGGAATGTAGATTATGTGTACTTGCGTGTGTTTTGGAGAGGAGACTTCATTTAAATCACAAATGCAAAACCACCTACTTGATTTCCGACGCCTTGTATCCCTCCTCCATCGCAGGTGTTCAGCACGCATTCAGTGACCGCCTACAAACGTCGTAATGACTCCATTGATCCTCTGGTCGCCTCTGCTGAGTACGAACTGGAGAAGCGCCTCGAAGACCTCGACCTTTTCGATGTGGAGCTGCAGAAAGGTCTGTGCATTCACCATAGTAAATGTTGTTAGCTACCAGTTTATTTGAATTGCAAATCTGGCTTTTTTAAGTCGTAATTTGAGATGTAGCTGACTGCAAGAGCCATAATTTTTAGGCTTTCGCTGTCATTGTTTATGTGACCCACTAAATAACGCGTCAAGCCCTGAGGCATCCCGTGGTTTTACGGCATGAAAATCGTCCGAAGGTAGGCACTTGATGTTGGAAGTGAAGGCCTTGTACTGCACCCTAAAGATGAAAAACCTCAAAGCGGCTAAGCGCGGAAGCGCACATAAGGGTGGGAGGAAGGTTGCTCGACTAGTCTGCCACCGCCTTCGGAATTTGAGGAATGTAGACAGTGCAATTTGACAACTTCTGAAGCACTACTCACTGTGGTTGATGCAAGGATCACGACAGTGGAATTGTATACTGTCAATTTGACTGAAAACAACTATTAACACAAGAATGCGGCAACTCGATACTCTTGTCTGATCGCAGTGTCACAGATGACATGTGTGCGATTACTGATTGCTTTGATTCGTGGCACGGATCAATCGAGATTAAAGCAATGAAGTAGGTAGCGAATGTTCTTGGTGTGAGGGGAAAGATTAAGCAGGTTAGTCGTTAAGCGGCAGGAAGTGAATAGGTCAAAGAACCTGGTGCCAATTGGCTACGTTGAAGCTCTCGACTCTCCAGAGGGTGTTAGATTTTGCCTTGAGGTCAAGTTATCAATTGAAACTCTGCCTTCCTCTTACGTCATCATAACTTGAAGGTTTCAGTATTCTCTTTGCTAATTAAATAAGCAAATGAAATTAAAGACGTAATTGTGCACGCACGAAGTCCAATGCACAAACCGTTTCTATTGGTACTTAAAGTGACAAGGTTCAGCTCGAGCCTTTAACCAGGTTTACCCAGTACCACTGTGGGATCTACTGGTTGCCAAATATAAATCTAGCACTGGCGTGTTAAAACTAACACGTTTCAAACCTTTGTTGAGTGAAGTTGATCCCTTAAAAGCACTAAACTGAAGGTACAATGATATTTTCATTTGAGATCACAAATTACCCGAATAATTTGGGCTGCTCTTCTGTATTTGCGAGAGCTTTACCACTGCTCTTATTCGCACCGACTTCATTGGTCAACGGATCCATAAAAGACGTTTTGCCCTTGAGGCGACCATTTCAGCAATAGTACCCAACTTTCGGAAGCTTTTCTTCCACCGCTTGCCTGGCGTTCGTAGCGCCATTTGACGGCAATTTGTAAGCCGGATTGCGCTTGTGCGTGCGCGTGCACGGTGCCATTTTCTCTGAAACACGTGGACACGTGAAGGCAGGCATGGAAACTGGTCAAAGTTACCCTTTTGTCGAACTGGGCGATGAGTCAACTGCTGCACCTTTTCCCACTTGGTTGATTTACCCCCACTTGAAAGGGGTGTTGGGTGGTGCATTGACTGCTGCTTTTTGGCTGTAGACGTTCGCCAGGTCGGGTGAGTTGCATGTGCTCACTACTCCTGTTTCTACTCACGAATCGCACAACTACTGACCCTGAAGCAGAAAGAGAAGTGCTTGTCAATCTGTCTGCCCATCCAGCTGAGCGTGCATTTCGCTTCTGTATCATTCATTCCACTCTCTACACTTAGGAGACAACGGCCTGGGAATCAGCATCCTTGGGATGGGCATGACCTTTGTGAATGGGGTGGAGAAACTAGGCATCTTCGTGAAGGCCATCACACCTGGTGGGGCTGCCAATGCCGATGGGAGGTGAGTTGATGATGCAGATTGTGATTGCTTGGGTCACGTGGTGGCAGAATGACCTCACCCACTTAAGCATACGAACGTCCACCCATCCTGAGGTCAAATTGCCTTCCTCCCCATCTTTTTATGAGTGATTCATCTCTTGACCAGCTGAGCGATGATTTAGATTTCAGGTTTTGATGTCAGATTTCATTAATGGTTAGTCCTTTTGCACTCATCGTGAAGATGAACCGTCGTCGCTGATTCAAACCGTTGCAGTTCCTTTAATTGCTGTCTTCGGGGAGCACTTTACCATTGAATCTCGTCTGGATTTCTTGGCTACACAGCTAACACAAATGTACATCGATGTGTAATCGTCTCTATGGGAGCTTCCACTCTAGCAGGAGGTTTTGTAATTAGGATTTTTCACGTGGGTGCTTCAAAATGTAAACAAGGTGATTTTGCAGCTGAAACATGCACTGTGCGGGAGCAGATGCGCCCAAGTCAACCTACGCATGAATTATCACTGTAGTTGGAACCTATTGGGAGTTAGCTTCTAGCGTTCAGGACCCTTCTTCTTCACAGGGCACCCCGTAAAGTTTCTTTGCTTAATTTAGCTACCTTGAAGCGTAGTTTTATTTAATTAGGCATAAAAGGATTACGCAGTAGATGTCCGGCTTGCGCCATTGCGTTTAGAAAGAAGGAAGCATATCGGAATTCAGTTTGGGAGATTTATCTCCGAGTAGTTTTGGCACAGTACCCATATTTCATAAATAATGTTATTTCTATGATTAATGGATGCTTCCGGAAGCGTGAAATTGCCATATCACCTGGGGTGTTGAAATGGCATCCTGTGTCAGTTGGTTACCGAGTTGGGAGAGAGGGCGGGAAGTTAGTACTCGGTCCCACCTAGGCCAGTGACTCATTGATGTCTCCGGCCTTTGGTGATGACTCATGCCGCCTCTTGTAGTTCAGCTTGGTAACACAAATTGGCTGACATAACGATTTCACCGTCTCCTCGTTTTTGAATTCCAGAATGCGGGTCTACGACCAGCTGGTGGAGGTAGATGGACAGAACCTCGTTGGCGTCTCACAAAAATTCGCCGCCACCGTTCTTCGTAATACCACTGGGACGGTGCAGTAAGTTCGAGTTACTTTTTTCTGCTTTGCTCATTTTCTGAGTCTGCTCACCCTATCTCGCGTGCTCACAGTCCTATTCTGTTGCGCTCTTTGTAGCTAACGAATTTAGCGTGCCTTCATGTGTGTACACACCCATGTACATTGATCATTTCTCTTTTGCTGAAGGCGATAACTTTTCTTAACTCGCATCGTAATCACGTTTTCGTCTGCTCCCTTATTACCACCTCATTTTGCGCCTCGAGGGAGGGGTGGAGAGTTGGGAGTATCTTTTCCACAATAAGTTATGCATGTTTGTTGCCATATTATCGTACATCAGTTGGGTTTGCTAGGTACTTGGAAAGGTTGGACTTTTTCATCTCTTAAAAGCGACTCTAGGTGAAGTTCTTGGTATGGTTAATGACATTGTGACAATACTTGAAAAGTGCTTTTGCCTCATGTCGCAACACTCATGCATGGTTGTGTAATGTTCTCAACCTCACCTACCGTTGACTCAACTTACTGGGCCTAGTTTGACCTCATTTAACATTCATTATGGCCAAATGCATTTGTAGAATATTTCTATCGTCCTACTTTGGCACTTGAGATGAATATAGTTTAATACAGATCGTTGAACAGTTTCTAATCTAGCATGGTTTCCATAACATGGCTATATTCGTTTCACTATCCCCGTGCTTGGGACACTGAAAAAGGAGAGTTAACACTCCTGAATGTTTGTCGTCTATGTTTGGTGGACAGTCCGCTTAGGGAAATCTTTTTTTGCCGATGTCAAATAAAATCTTCCTGCAGTCTTGTCTGTCTCCACGTATATTTCCCCTCCCGTTTTCAGTCCCCCATAGTAGAGAGCACGGTCGTTTTCCATCCATCCACAAAAGGAGAAGCCGTGCGAGTTCTATTTTGCTGCTAACTCGGCCTCTGTTCCCACTCTAGCTT